TACTTTTTATGTCTTCACAACAATACAAATCCCGTAGAATACAACTAATCATGTCACAATCTCTTCACACTTCCAACACTAAACACAACGCAAAATTTGACATTTAAGGTAGACTCAATAAATATTGAGTGTCTGTTAATATAAGCAATCAATTATAAATCAATTTGAATAAAAATGACACCACCGGCTTCATAATCATACACAATAATATATATATATACAGATAAAGATATAGATATAGATATAGATATAGATATAGATATAGATATAGATATAGTAAAAAGACATCCAGGTGGTCAAGATAAAGTAGCTGCCTAAATCCAAATCTCTCAACACATCCTCCAAAACTATGCAGATCAACAAAATGAACAAATAAAAACACACTAATACCATGTTTTCAGCAAGACTAAAAGATAGAGAACAAAATCAACTTCAGGTTATCTGAATAAAAAAGAACAATTTATAATGCTAAAAGTCACAATTAACAATAAAGTTGAAACAGTTGGGACTATATATACATCAAATAACGCAGTAACCACTGGAAATACTGTTTCTGATACTTATTGTTTCACTATGGAAATGAAAAGTCTACCCTCATAAGGGGGCTGGCAAGACTGTTAACTGTGTTTAAATGAAAGCTTCAATAAGCAAAGGAATTAACATTTCCCCAAATGCAACATTTCTGAAGGTTTCTGAAAATGCTGTTAAAAAGTAAAAACTATAGATGATGCAAGGAGACATACATTAGTAAAAGATTTTAACATACTACTTTCAACGCAAGAACAAATGAAGTGCACAAAAAATAAACTAGAATTATAAACCATACTCTGTTCAAATTAAAGCTAGAAATTAATAACAATTTTAAAGGCCACCCTATATAGAAATTTTAAAAGCCATCTTAAACAACTCTTGTATGAAATGCAAAATACTCACCAAAATGATAAAATTTTTTGTATCATTACTTTTGAGAAATTCTATGTATTAATATCATAACCTCTGGGTGCCACTGAAAGCAGTAACCAAATGAAAATTCATAAACTAAAGCTCATAATTAAAATAGAAAAATTAATTAAATCAATTGAATTCCTCAATTGAAAGCTAAAAAAGAAAATAAAGTAAAGCAAAGGAAACCACAAGGAAGGAAATAATAAAAAGCAAAAATTAATGAATAAAAGTAGTATTGTTCAACAGAACTTTCAAGTGCCTGTACATAAGAATTGTGATAAAAAGCAATAAAAAATGAGCAAACTACTAATATATGCAACAATTTGATGATTAGCAAAAACATTAGGCTGCCTGAAAGATGGCAGACACAAAATAAAAGGGACCTCTAGCCTATAGCTATAAATAGAAGATCAGTGATGGCCTGGGTTTGGGGTAAGGCAGGAGGAACCTACTGCAGAGGGCATGAGGAACTTTTTTCATGTGACCGCACTGTTCCATGATTTGATGGTAGTCGTGGTTGCATGGGTATTTATATTTATCAAAATTCATTGAATTGCACCTTTACAATGGATGCATTTATATATGTAAATTATATCTCAATTTGATTTAATAAAAGAATCCATAAATCTATGCTGATTATATAAATAAACACAGCGAGGTTCAACATAGAGGTGAATTCCTTATAGTAGAATTCAACTTACAAATGTAGAAACAATGCTGAGGTTACAAAATTAACATTTGCACCCATTATAATGAGTCAATCATGTAAGAATAATTACTGGATAATAAAACTAAGAGCTAATGAAAAGCAAATTGTTTATGCAGTTTTAAAGTATCTTCTCATAAATTACTTAATAATGACAAAGAGGAAAAAAACACCTTTCTAGTGGAGAAACCAGGCAAATACCATCTTAACCAAGTGATCAAAGTTAGCATCACTAGTAATGGGACAAATCAACATCATGTGCCTCCTGATATGATGTACTGAGAATATACCCTCACATCACAGTGCTCCGGCCACAAACCTATTTAGACCATATAAAAATATCAAACATTAAAAACATAACAGATATCTGTTTGTAAAAACATTAGTTGCCTGAAACCAAACAGTGAATAAAAGCTGACATAAAGTATATTCAAGTACCAGTTTAATAAAAAGGTAATTAATAATATACCATATTCCTTTCCAGGTACATACCCCTTACATGTATTCCTCATTTCTCTAAGGACCTTTAAATTCTTCATATCCTGAATCTAATTATATGGAAGCATAAGACAAGCCCAAATTGAGCACAGTTCTACAAAATAACTAGTTTATACTCTTAAATAACAGTCATGAAAGACAAAGAAATACTGAAAACTGTTCCAGATAAAGAGATATGACAAGTAAACTCAATGTGTGACTTCGGAGTGGATCCAAGACCAGAAGGAAACACATACACATATACATCAATATACATCCAGCTAGCAACAAAATATAGGAAGATTGATAAAATTTTTATGATGTCTATAGATGAGACAATATTATATCAATATAACGTTCTTGAGTTTGGTCATTGTTCTGAGCTGTATAAAAGTATATAAGTGTTCTCATTGTTAAGTAATGTATATTGAAGTATTTAAGGGTGAAGGGGCATCGTATCTGTAACATACAAAAGGTTCAGGAAAAAATAATTGTGTACATGTGTGTGTGTATGTGTGTGTGTTCAGAGAATTGTACAGCAAATATGGTAAATGTTAGCAATTGAGGAGTCTGGTTAAGGAGTAAATGGGAGTTGTTTGAATTCTTTGATTTTTTTCTGTAACCTTGAAATTCTTTATTTCAAAATAAAGTGTTGTAAATATTTAAACATGCATTAAGTACGTAATAATAAATAGCACAGTATTAGGTTGTGGAATATGGATATGCAGTAGGTTGTAAGAATAGGATGTATAATAGTAATGCTGATAAACCCATTCCCTTGGATGGAAGTAAGATAATATGGAACTAGAATTGACCCTTTTCTACTGTCTATTGGTCTCCACGATTCACTGAAACACATTTCAAGACAGCACCTTACCACTTATCTCTTCCTTATTTATCTCTTCTGAAACCATGTTTCAATATAGTTTAATATGATTATCTTGAGGTTTGAGTCACTGAGTTACTTCCTTCTACCTAGTATAATTGAAGCTTCCACCAAATCATGGTAAAATACAGAACCAAGAACTCTCCAGGCAGAGGATCCTTTATTTAGGACTTAGTTGATTCCTGGGGGAGCATTTCAATATGTACTGCATGTAAACAATTTATATTATTATTCCAGTAGTGTAAGTTAGCTTTCTAATATAAAACTATTTAAATCATATGAAATATCAAAGATTAAGAAGTAAAACAGATACATGATTTTAGAAACTGCTAATCTCTAAACAAAGCAAAATGTTGCTTTCTTAAGAAGGCATACAGGTTCAGCTAGTCTGATCATGCATCCATTGAAAAGTCAATGTTTTTCACATGATCACTTAGCTCATCTTGTTACCTTATCACCATTGATTTATCAGAGCCAGTCAACTTCATTAGACATAGTAAATCTAGTGTCTGCACTGGTCACTTTCATTGGTTGTTGTAAAGACAAGTTTTAAATATCACCGTTGAGTGTTTCAGAACCAGTAGCACAGCAGTCACCTCCTCTGACCTACTGGCAGTTATCAATGGTAAAATAAGAAGCTGACTTCAAAAATGCCCATGCATTGAGAAAACATATTGTCCTAGGTAGCCAATCTACCAGTATTAGCATTTATTTATTATATGTAGTCTTTATGAGCAGTAGGATGCTAACAGGGCTTTGAAAAACAAAAATTAGGAGCATTACACGTGATTCCTTTCAAACAGACCCTGCATATTCAAAATACTGCCATTTTGTCATTAATTTTTCAAAAAGAAAGTATCTTAAGTTTGCATCAAACAATATTGGAGAGAAAGAAAGCGAGGGGTAAAAAAGACTGGCTGTGAGTTATTAATTGTTAAAGTTTTTTAATTGTTAAATAAATTTTTAAATAATTTTTTAATTATTAAATAAATAAATTAATTAAAATTAATTGTTAAATAAATGAGTTTATGAAAGTTCTTTATAATAGTTTTTCCTATTTTATCTACTTTTATATTTGAAGTGAAAGTATTATATTTTAAATGATACAAGCATTCATGATACTGACATAAAACTATGTGTAGAATATACTAAGAAAAGATACAGAAGATATGGATAGTATGCTAACCTTTGGACTTAAAAGTGTCTAGAGGTGAGAGAATAAGCATATTTTTTATATACGTTAAAAAAAGGCACAATATAACTCAGTGGGAACCACACATACAGTGCATGTTCAATAGAAAAATAGTTCAAAAATATATTTTATTCTTAGAAAGTTTGTCTGCCAAACAAGTAATCAATCATAATATGAAACGAATATACTGTAAAAAAAAATAGTAATGAAGGACTGATTATAAAACATTTTGCCAAATGATTTACAATTGTGGTAGCACAACTCCACAGTCTCTTAACTAAAACTCTTGGGCTGCATTTCAGAATTCATAATTATTGAGATCTTAGAAAGATAATACACAGCAATGTCTCGTAGACAGTTCTTTTATCTTTGTTTCATACCTCCACTGATGTCTGAGGTAGCACCCCGTAATTAAACACATTAATATTCTGTAATTAAATGTATGAATATTCAAATTTAGTATAGCTTTAAAATGATGGTAAGTCACCTCAGCTCAGCTGATGTCAGATTTTGCAGTCAAAGGAAAGCTTTTAGTTTTCTGAGATTTGGGATTTCAGAATTATAGAGAAGGACACATGAATTTTCATTTGCACAGATACTAACAGAGAATTCTTTATGGATCTGTTAACTGGGTGAGTGCCTGATATGAGAAAAAAATTCATCAAAACATTCTTGTCTCTTTCCTAGAGTCCACCGTGTACATCGCCCTTATTAAGCTCAGCAAGTCAGCTATGAACTAGTGAGCTTTTCTCGTCAAAAAAGATCTGATCGGACTACAAAATGGGGCTACTTACCCAGCAGGTTGCCTCATTAGGAGATCTGTAAAAGTTTCTATGTCTGGATTGGATTATTGTTAGGATATTCAGTAGTTTTGCTTCAGTTCTTTCCAGAGTCTCAAAATACAAAGGAACACAGAAGTAAAAAGGATTTTATTAAGGAGGAGGAAGGAGTGAGAGGAGGAGGAAGATAAATGCTGTCATCCACCCAGATTTATTAGGGCCTTTGTAATTCAAAATTCATTCCTGTAATAATAAGCATTTTATAAAAGTCCTGTTTTAATTGTTGTATATACTTTTTTAATGCTATTAATATAATCCAAACACTGTGTAAACTTTCTCTTTTCCAAGAAACACATGTTTAAATAATTTTCTAGATGTTACGGGTTTGAAGGGTCTTCAGAAAATGATTTTCTTAGCAACAGGTCAATAAATAACCACACATTTGGTCGTTGCTCTGTTTCTCTGGCTCACACTAATTACTTAACTTTCCATTTATTTAATCAATTGGGGAAATGAGTAGAATGCTTTGATTGTCTGGGTGAAAGGTTTTAGAATTATGCTGACAATTAATAATTACAACAGTAATTCAGTATAACTTAATTTTGCATTTACTAAAATCAATAAGGAAAACCACATACTGATTCCTGCAAAAACATTTATAATCAATTATACTTTCTTTCTCGGCATTTTTTTATATCTGGCATACATACGTCAAAAGCTATTTTGGAGCCCAGATGCCTAGAAGTGCAATGCAATGCTCCAATAGGAATTTTTAAAGTGAGAACCATTTCTATCCATAAGTAGAAATCTCATCATTATCTCAAATCCCATAGTCTATTTGGCCAAAGTCACTTTCAGAAAGACAATCAATTAAAGAAAATATACATTGGGAAAACTGTTATTTTGCAAATATTAAAGAATTTTCCAAATTTAAATGTCACATAGCACTCCAATCGATCTACGTGAGATTTTTACTATCACCTTCCAGGACACAGAAGTATTAGCACTTAACAACATGGCCAAGGAAGAACAGTAAATTTAAAAGTTGACCATAACCTGTTTAATTGGTAGCTTAAAGATCCATGAAACCCATTCAATGGCTTTAAAAAAAAAAAAAAATCAGCAGTTGTTTTCAAAGCCTCTTGCTTTACCTACTATGTCTGGTAAGATTTTACTAGATTACTAGATGTTGTTCCATTCTTTTAAATAGGTCTCCCCAGCAGGAAGTTTCAAACTCAATAAGAGAACCTATCTTCCAACCCTACCCTAACTGACCAGGCTGGGAAGTGCTTTTTTATCATGCTAAAGCTAAGAAACAAAGCTTATCTTTTTCCCAAACCCAAATAAATCACTCAGTGTCCAATTTGACACTAACTACAAAAGATTAAAAAAAAAAAATCAAGAGCTTCTTCTGAAGGAAAGGAAGTGACATCCAGTTCTTGAGTGCCAATGGCATGATTAATGAATCAACAGAAACCAACAAGAAGGGGAGTAAATCAACACAGGGTCTAGTGGTTCTAATGTCAAAAGGCAGAGCAAAGAGGCAATTTGTTGTGATGTTTATGGAGGATTTCCCCAGGGAAAGTCACAAAGTACTGTGACTTCAAATACGAAAGGTATGGAAATGCTTCCACTGACCTCCAGGGAAGCATCTGTCTGCCTTCCTACTGGACACACATAAAAGCATCTCTCCTGATGTGCTTGCTGGTCTTGTTGGAGGACATGAGGTGGTATCGTTTCTCTAGTTTATTGGAGCAGATGAACAGACCTTAGATTGGAAAGATGAGGGAGTGGGGGAATCGTAGAAACTGAAAGAGAATAAACGGACTATAAATCATCATAAAGTAAAGGGAAGAACAAGAGAAGGAAATCTGCATCTCTGTTTATCAACGATTCAAAGTTTTGCAGATATGTTGTTAATAAGAAACTCATAGAATCATATACTCTATTGAATGTAAAGACTGATTCCTCAGGCCCGAGCAGGCAAGCATCTCTGTTTTACACATATAGTTAAAAACTTTTTGACAAAAAGACTATATTTACACCAGTCATTATTAACCACTGTTATTGGTCCTAATAACCATGATTAGCAGTAAAGACTTTGTTCTCTTGAGAAAGAGAAAAGAGTGCGAAAACACATACCCCTCACACAACCCGTGTGTTCCCCTATCTCAGGAGACTGAAACAAATCCTCCAAAACAAACTTGGATTGGCAATTTAATGAAAGAGTATTTAATCTAGAGTCCACAAACATGATTCAAGAAGTCCAAAAATCCAGTCCTCCCTCCCTGCCACACACACAGATTAATAATTCATCTATGTGCATTGTTCTGAGAATCTTATAGTTTTCATCAAATTCTCAAATGGTCCTCAAAGGGTAAATAATCACCAATTTAAAATCTTCCCCATAAGGCCAGTAGGAGGTAGAATAGTACTAAAGGAAAAGCAGTGACCATCCATTTAGTTAGCTAACCCAAGAAGAGGCTAGTTTCAGAGAACTTGTGTGTGTGTGTGTGTGTGTGTGTGTGTGTGTGTGTGTGTTGGAAAAAAGAAAAAGTGAGATGGAGTCAAACATCCTGGTATTATATTAATAGTATTAATAATCACACAATTCTGATTAATTTTATATTAAAGTGAATAATTTTATCAAGTGACAGTATTTTAAAGAAAACTGATAGACCATGTTAGAACTGGTAGAACATGACTAATTAAAATGTCTTTAAATTGAAATTTGAAGGAAAGGGAGAAAAATGTATTACAAGTCTATAAGCAGATACCAAGCATGGCATCAGAAGAGCAATTGAAAGACAGAATTGCAGTAACATGGAGTTGAACAAAATGTCCCTCAGGTTTCATGCTTTATATAAAGAAATAGCACAACAGATTAAATAATTTTGTTACTAAAGAGTACATGTTTTGCACATTTTGTTATTTTTATTTGAGTGGTGGGCAATGTGCTAAATTACTCAAAATCAAAAGGTTTTCTCATGAAACGTTTATGTGAGATTCTTCTCTATGGTACATGGATAATAACCCTTACATTGAAAAATTTCCTGGGATTTTAAAACTGCCTATAAAAAGTATAATATTCATATAATAGAGAAAGTAAAATTATTAAATTTCTAAACTGAAATGAATTTCAAAATGGAAAGAGTAGCAATAAACATTATTAGAGATAACTAAAATCAAATACAATATACTATATTTTGCCATGTAAAATGCACTCCTGTGTATAATATACACCCAAATTTTTGGCCCAAGCTTTCAGGGAAAAAAGTCTTTCATTTCAATTTTTTAATTTAAATTTTTATTTGTTCACATTTAGGTACTTGTTTTTTGTATTTAAAGAAATTTTAGCATTTATTTTTTAACATATTATGGTACAGGAAATTTTATGTAACAAATAATTACAAAACAAGAACAGATACAAGGAACAAGAAATTTTATGTACTGGTAACAAATTTACAATATTTACGCATCTTAAAAGGCCAAGAACTTATCATCATTGCAAGTCGCTCATAAGTTCAACAAAACTGATTATTGTATTCCAGGGTATTATTTTGCATACAGATATTATTATTGATTTCTAGAGTTACACTGTTAATTCATAAGCATAAATAAAAGAATTTAAAACATTTATATAGATACAAAATTAGTACTGCCCATGTATAATGCTCATCCTTATTTTTCCTTCATAAATTTGGGCAAAAAAGTGGGCACTATACATGGCAAAATACAGTAGATAAGAAGATAATTAGCTTTCTTTTGGAAAAATAAAATGCAGGAAGCAGAAAGAACTCATCAATACAGTTAATCATTTTATGAATCTTTCAATTATGGAATCTTTTAAAATACTGAGGGCTGTCAAATATCTTGATTTTCTGAAAGATTATTAAATTTTGTACATACCAATTGTTTATATTGGCATTGTTCCCTGGCCAAAGCTCACAAGTTACTAAATAAGTGGAGTGTGACTATGTAGACAAGAAAATGGGGTTACTAATGACCATCATGAGTTCACTGGGAAAAGTGGCGCCGATGTGAACTGTTTTCCTCATGAAAGAACTTCTAGAGCAACCTCCTGTGCTGATCCCTATTTCTTATCAATGAATTTGAGCGAAGGGCTAAAAATTTAAGGGAAAAAAAAAGGTCTGACTGTCTTGGAAGGAATAAGATCAGTTAGGATAATTGAAAGATTGAAAAGCACAAAGACTAAATAAAACTGGGATATGCTGGAAACAACATAAGCAAGACAAAACTGTTTGCAAGGTAAGTGTGATCCCTGCAGGATAAGTGGCTGTCAAAACAAGCAATCAAACAAGAACATTAATGCATTTTAGTTTACATGGATGGAATTATATAAGCTACAGAACAGTGCATAATAAAGAAACAGATAGATAAAGAAACTAGAGCACTTTACACAACAAAATAATTAAGTTATATTGGATTATGACCCCAAATATAAATATTTATGGGTCTATAGTATATGTGTATGAATAAATCTTTGAATAAATAAATGCAGTCAGTTGATTAAATAAATAAATGGGACAGAACAGAAAAATCTCCTCTGCAGAAGAATTTCAAATAATTTATGTACAGACTCAGTCCTAAAGGAGGTAGAATACCCCATTTCTTAAGTGTGAGCTGTACATAGTGACTTCCTTCCAAAGATGACAGTATTGAAAGGAGGGAGAAAAAGAGTAAACTTACAGTTGAAAAACCTGACAAACATTACCTCAGCCATGTAACTAAAGTCAATATTGATATTATATATCCTTGATATGATAAAATGGCACTTTATTGATAGTATGTACTATTGACTTGATGTGATGAAATAGTGCTTTACCTCTTTAGCCTTCCTGTCAAAAAACACATATGGTATGTCTAATGATAAAAACATTAGGACATCAGAATTGTGAGATATTCTACAAAATACTTGACTAATACTCCTCAGAACTGTCAAGGTCATCAAGAACAAAGACAATCTGAAAAACTGTCACAGCCAAGAGTAGCCTAAGGAGACGTGATAATCAAATGTAACATAATAGGCCTGAGTTAGATCCTAGAACAGAAAAAGTACATTGGGCAAAAACTAAGGAAATCTGAATAAATTACTGACATTTTTAATAACATATCTATATTGCTTCATTATTTGTTATCATTGTACCACATCATTATAAGATATTAGTAATCAGGGAAACAGGGTATGAGGTGTACTCTCTGCAAAAGATAGTTCTTTGCCATTTTTTGTGAATGTGAAACTATTACAAACTAAATTTTTTATCTAAAAAATAAATACATGATTCTAAGGATACAGGGCTATCTTACTAAAAGCAAGGAAGACATGTGAGCAACCAGACCTGAAAAAAAGCACAAAGGAGCAGGACTCGGGAGCCCTCAGGGGAGGCGCTCCTGTGTCTTCATCGGGCTTACGGACAGGAACATGGTTCAACCACCAGCCTCTGCCTTTCTCTTAGCTCAGGGGTCAGCAAACTTTTGAGACAGAACGTACCCAAAGAGCCACACGTGGCTCGTGAGCCGCAGCTTGCCAACCCCTGTCTTAGCAAAATTCCTTATTTTCAGGAGAGGAAATTTGTTCAGCTTGCATAGGTCAAACATAGACCATGGAGAGTAGTTTAATGACGTGCCTGCATTGTGTGTATTTTGAACAGATCCTAAAAACAGGGAATGTGCAGTTTCAGTTACCCAAGAGTCCATTATCTAAAGAGGCTTCAAAGAAGGCTATTCAAGCAGAACAGGGCTGAGCTACATGAAGCACTCGATGGGGGGATAAGTGAAAGTAGTAAGCATGTCAGTTGTGCTTTACCGTTTTCAGTTAGTGTATCACATACGGTTTGGGTTAAGTGCTATAACAATAAGAACCAAGACGCTAACCACTTAATAAGATGGAATTTTATTTTTCTCACACACAACAATCCAAATATGAGTAGTCCAAATCTGGTGGGTGGCTGGCTCTGCCACTGTAATTCTCAGTTTAGTGATAAATGATGTGCACAGGATATTCAAAGAGCAAAGGAAGCAGTTCTGTAACCAACCACGCCACAGAAGGAAGAAGAAATGAGAAAGAAGGGCGTCTGGGAAGGCCTAATAGAGACATTTTAAAGGTAGGACTTAGTGGGAGGTAGGCATTTAGGGACAAAGAATATTCCAAGCAGAGGAGTCCAGTCTAGGGACAAGAAGTGGAAGAACACATGCAGTGAGCCACCATCCTGAGTTAGTGACACCGGTGAATCTGAGAGCCAAGAAATGAGGCTCTTTGTGGTCATTGTAATCACTATAAGTGAGGGTTTAGTGAAGGAGTGTTATTGGAGGATTTTGTGCAAAAAACATTACATGATAAAATTTATGTTTTACAAGATCACTCTGGGTGCTCTGTGAAGAAAGGCTGCAGAGTGATAAAGGCTAAAGCAGGGAAGTCAGGAGGGTGCTTCTAAAGTCCAGGGAAAAAACAGCAATGCTTGGACAAGGGTGAATATAATGAGAAGTATTTTGAAGACAGAGCTAACAGGGTTGGTTAATGGAGTAGAGATATAAAGGAGAGGAAACTGGCCTGAGCAACTGAGGAAATGGAAATACAATTTATTAGGATAAATAAAACTGGGAAAGAAATCATTTTTGAGAAAAACAGACATTATTTATAAACATGGTTTGATAGAGATAAAAATTAGACATTTAAATTCTGATATCATGTAGGCAGGCAAGTTGGCTACAGCGGTCTGGATTAAAAGGACTGGTCAGGACTGAAGACATAAATTTGGAATGCACTAGCATATATACATTATTTCAAGATATGAAACTGTAAGATCACTCATACAATGGCTGTAAATGGAAAATAGGTCTCCGGATGCAAAGGCATGTTAACATTACATTTAGAGGTTGGAGAGGAAGACCTAACAAAGGAAACCGAGGAAAAAGAGCTGCCAGTGAGATCCAAGGAGTATCAGAAAAGAACATGTGATGTTTCTAAGAGGAAGGGGTAATGCAGTGCTGCTGAGAAGTTTATTTTCAAAGTTAGGGTTGAACAATGTTTGCAGGAATTCCATTCTATCCTTGTTCTATGTCCCCCTGGCCTAAACTCTTCCTCTGTCTCCAGTGTGGTCCTGCCAACAGACAACAGCTGGTTCTTTCCTAGCAACCAGGAAAGCAACCCTTTTAAGTTATTGCATCTCTTCCCAAAGATCGGGTAACTAAATCACATTTAATATGTATCAGGGGCAATGGTTTAACAGTGCAAGAGAGAGCAGAGGCAAAGAAAAACAGATTTAAAAAGAAATTGCCTTGGACGTAAAATTAGAAGTTGTTTAAATCAGGTAAAAAATCTTACAATCTTTTATACTTGTGTAATTTTCTTCTCTTCACAACTCACTGAAGCTGCATTATATACAGCTCAGGGATTACCCCAATTTGGAAGCTTCATGTTTTCCCATTTTGAAAGTAATTCTGATGGATAGTATTAATATTATAATAGTGTATCAGAAAAGCTATCAAATACTCATTTTTTAAGTATTTACAAATTTTCATTACATAGAATGCCAATGAAGATGGCCTAGGACAGTACCGGCAATTTTACAAACAAAGTCTAAGATTGAGCTAAAGTTTTGTTGGTTTACCTGTGGAAGCAGAGACCAGGTCATCGATGTCAGTTAAAGAAGTTGTTCTTAATGTGTGGTCCCTGGACCAGAAGCAGCACCACCTGGGAAATGGTTAGAAATGTAAGTTCTCAGGCCTCAACCCACACCTGCTGAATCAGACACTCTGGGTAGAGTCCAACACCTGGTGTTTGAACAGGTTCTCCAAGTGATTACAATGTACAGAAATGCTTGAAAACACTGAGCTAAAGGACGGGAAGTTGGGGGAGGAATACAAGGGAAGAAGAGGGGCAAAAAAAGGTGAGAAGGAGAGAGAGAGAAAGGAGAGGAGGAGAAAGAGAGAAAAGAAGGGAGAGATGGGGAAACAAGGAGAGGGCAAGAGATAGGGAAAGTGAGAGAGAGACCAGAAAGGAAGAAAAGAAGGGCAAAGAAAGGGAGAACCGTACATATCCTTTAATGGTCATAAGCAATTGTTTATCAAGTAGAAGTGGATAATCACCTCACAGCTTTGTTGTAATAATTAATTGAGAAAATTAAAGCAAAACACTTTCCAAGTGCCCTGGCACCTAATATTGGTAATATCTGTATAAAATTATTGATTACAAAATAGCTCAATATGAAAAGCTCAGCACATCCACTTTCATTATCCTTTTTCCCCCTTCATTAACAATTATTTTCTCTATGGCGAATACCTCCTAGGAGTCCTATTCTCCATCTAATTCAACTCCTGGCTTACTTTCATCCTGTTTTCATTCTAGATCCTTCACTATTTCCTTGAAACCTTGTTTACAGTCTATATTCAAACTTATCCAGCTGACTCCCAACTACTAGAAAACATTGAAAAGTCTCCAAATGAGGAGTGGTGAGCCTGCCACCATGTAAAGTTTACCAGTAAAACACAGTCTTGGCAAAGAATAATAGATGAGACTGATGTTTGTTCAAAATGAGACAGGGGCATATTTTGTTTAAAAGAGAGAGCCAAAGAGAAGTGATTTTTTTTTCTTTTTTTTTTTTTTTTTTTTTTGTATCATTTGACTTCCTTATGGAAACTTGACTTGAAGATTTCCTGGAGTTTTATTACCAACAAAAAAATACCTGAGAGGCCCCCTCATTCCAAAGATTCAGCTCTTATTCATTGTTTAATAAAAATCACAAAATCCACCTAGCTAGGAAATTTAAAGATAAAAAAACAGCTAATTAAACTTAATTGGGTCAGTATGGGCAGGCTGATTACCCTGTTTGATCGGCCTCAGGAGAATGTAATCACGGATTCACCAAGTGCAACTTGGCAGAGGAAAGCCTGCAGTCAGGACAGGTGCTATATTTCTGTCTAACTGAAGATGTAATTTTTAGTGAGAAATAAGAAAAAGAGGTTAAAAAAGGAAACAGTGTACTGGGGTATAGCACATTCAACACAAACAAGTCATTCCAGACCCATTCTAGTCTCTCAGGGTGGAGCAGAGGGAATTATTATAATAATAACAACACAACAGGCTTACTTCATAGGAGGTCCTGGATTTCCTTCCCCCAACTTAACCAAATATATTGTATCAGGTTTTCGTTGCAGCAAGTTCTTTCTGGCTTGCAACATAGAAAGGAAGTTAAGAGAGCTATGTGGAGTGAATTGAGCACATGGATGAGTCAGGTTTGTCTGAGGGATCTAAATCACAATATACCACAGATATGAGTATTGATTCCTGGAATTTGAAGACAAACTTATCCCACCAGCATACATACTTATGATAATCATTCATTCTGGAACCCCTGATTTTGAAGGTAGTAAGTTAATCTGATTAATATTGATTTAAAGTGCATCAAAACCATGGGTTAAAAATATAGATTTCTAAGCCTCAACCCAACCTGCTAAATCAAGTCTCTGGTAGTAGGTCCAGGAAAAACGTATTTTTAAAAAAGTGCTTCACAGGTGGCTCTTAGTTATTGTAAAACATGTGAAATGTACTTTCAGTGTTTTGCTTAGTGGCACAGTAGTTAAGAGTTTGAATGTCAGTTCCATCATACCATATGGTGATATTTTTTACCTTAAATCATTTTACCTCTTTTTGTTCCTTGTTACTAAAATGAGGATATTAAGAGTCCCTAACCCAAAATGTTGTTGCAAAGATTAATACATAAAAAATGTTTAGTACTCTTACTGTTATTAGCAGTAACATTATCTAGACAAAAATAGTAAGTCAACAAAAAAAGTAGAGTGTCAATGAAATCTGTGTGGAAACCCTACCCTGTTCTACCACTGTATTTTTGCAGTTTCCACAACATGCTAAACCTTCCTTATTAAAAGCTTTTTTTTTTACCATTTCTTGAAACTCCTTTTCTGTTGTTTTATTTTTTTATTCTACTTCTCCCTCTTAAAAGAGAGATGGAGAATAAACAGATGAGGAAAGTTTCTATGGCACAGGACATAAGGATACCACGAGAGGCCTAACCTTTATTAAGCGCCAACCATGTGTCAGGAATGTCTACATCACTGCAGGAGGAAGTAGGTGTAGATTTTAAGAACTTCAATTACCCAACATAAACCCTGATGACTCAGAGAGGAAAAAAAAAAAAAAAAAACCTCTCAGACATTAGATAAATCTGTCAAAAATGAGTTAAATTAGTTACATATATTGTGAAATATGTTATGTTTCTCATTAATCTGGGACATGCAGAGTCAATTTTCATCAAGAAAAGAAATAAAAACAAAGGAAAATAATGAGTTCCATATCATATGAAGACCACGTCCAAATGATCTGTGCTTTATCAACCACAGGATTCATACCATTCCTATAGATTGATATGCATGATCTCATTTAATGCTCAGAAAACTGCAAGGAAGACTGTTCCTTTTCACATGGAAGGAAAATAGGTTAGTGAGTTTCAATAACTTGCCCACGGTGGCACTCTGCACTGTGCTGGTTGACTGCTTCTGGCTCCAAAGCCTGCTCTCAATCACTCCACCTGAGCAAGAGAGACCCAGGAGCATGCTGGGTTCCCAACCCTGAACTCATGGCTGAGGACACAGCGATGACATGCCTTCACGGAGCTTTCAGTCTAGCGCAGAGGAGATGGAAAAAGAATACATCTCATAATGTGACGGACCATAGGAGGTCTAATGAGCTCTAAGCATATAACAAGGTGACTAATTTTACTGTGAGGATAAGGGAAAGCGTCCTCAAGTAAGGGGCATTTAACCTGAGAGATGAACAATGGGTAGGAGCAATAAGGGAAAGGAAAAGGGAGGGTATCAGTAAGGGAAGGAGCAGTATGTGTGAAAAACTTGACGCCAGAAAGAGTCAGATGCTTTGAAAGAAAATAATAATATCCAGGAAGGCTGGAGCACATTAAGCAAAGGCTAAAAAGGGGCCAAGGAAGCCATAACGGGAAGTCTCATAGGTCATATAAAGTTTTGGGACTTCATCTTAAAAAAAAAAAAATCAACAAAGACATTAAGCAGATGAAAGTTCTGGGCAGATTTTCTGATTTGTAAAGCTCTCCCACATCAGTGACTGCCATGGGCATATTAGAAGACTGGCTAGCGCTAGACGTTTTCAGCCTCTATTCAACATGCTTTTGAGCATTAGATGCATGACTCTTTTAATACTACACTCTTGCCAATTCGACTAATGCACCACAAATACAATAAGTACTATAAATACTCTGCAATTTCTATTAAACTATAGCTCCAAGCACCACCTCTTATCTTGATCTCAAGATGTACATCAGCTGTTCCTCTCTTGGCTTATTGTCTGCATCTGTGTACTAACAACACCCCAAGCACCCATTAGAGTCAATTTTATTGGTAACTTCTGCTTCCATCGTTAATCAGCTTCTGGAAATCAAAGCCAACTGCACCCTCTGTGCTGACATATACTTGCCGTCCACCAAGTACTGAAACCATGTGGAAAGACAGATAGAACAATTAAAACAAAAATCTGTACAGAAAAATAGCCTTTTTTGTGTTGCATTGATAAGTCACTGGCTGCCTGAATAGTGTTTAGCTGGGATCACTGCTGACTATAGAATGAAACACATTGTGTTAATCTTGAGTAATGCCTTAGCCTTGAAAGTTCTCACACCTAAACTTTTGTGATTTTTAACATTTCATTAACTGATTAGCTGGAGATTTAAAAATAATAGATGTGTGAATAAACAACTGAGCTGATTTTATTCCTCCTTTGATATGCTCCTGAGCTATAAACAAGATTACAAAGTCAGCTCATTAATTCCAGTGCTATTCCTATTTTTCTTTATCTCATGTATGCATCGATTCCTTCAAACCTTCCCCTCGGCTAACCCAGTCCTGCTTCTTCACACCATCCTTCTCCCAAAGTTTCTCCTCTACGTTTTAAAGATGGAGTTTAGAGCTACAAGTTTGCAAGGATGTATGCTCTCTACTCCTTGGAAGCTGAACCACAGAATGTAAAGTAGAAATGGGAAATAAATAATGTATATTATAATTTGATGTTATGATTCCCATTAGAGCCTACAGAGCAAATACATAAAGGTTGGAGCACTGCCCTTAGAGAAAAGATTCTGCATCAGGGAGGTTTGGAAGGAAAATGTTTAGCTGGCTCTTCTAAACTGATTGTTCCACTAGTAACCCTCCACTGACTATTCTGAAATTAAACAAAAACTTTGTATACTGGTGTTTATTAAATATTCTATTAAAATGTTCCTAGGATGGAAAGATTTGGTGGACACACCCTAAGGTGACCCCAGTGAGTCATGCCCTTATATAATTATCTCCCCTTGAGTGTGGGTGGACCCTGCAAGTGTTTCTAAAGGATAGATTATGGGCCAAGATGATAAGATGCCATGCCTTTGATTAGAGTTACTTTATATAGCAAAGGTGATGCAAAGTCACCCCCATGATGATGTTACGTTATATAAACTCTCACTTAGAAGACTGGAGAAAGAAATTCTCCTGCTGGTCCAGAAGTAAGCTGCCATGTTGTGAGAAGGCCCATCAGGAAGCTCACACAGCAAAGAACTGTGGGAAGCCTCTAGCAGCCGAGCCAACAGTGAGCAACAAAAGGAGTTTGTGCTAAGACCTGATTGCAGTCTGTGAAATCCTGAGCAGAAACCCTAGCTAAGATGTACCTAT